CGAACTACGAAACGTGCCAGCGGGTCTTGGGGTGGCGGGAGACGCGGAGGAGGGACGGCAAACTGTGTTTCTGAATGAAAACGCCGGAGTAGAATGACCCCGTCTATCATCCGACAGGTCGTAAAATCTTAATGACGTATATGTGGCGTGAAATGCCACCGAATGCGTGGTTATACGTTGGCCGGTGTTGTTGCGCGTGGCCGTCGTTAGACCACACGAGGTGTCCCCCGCATGAAAACACAGCGTCCTTCGGAAGGTCCCCTGTGGGTATACACTTTGCGTTCATTGCCTTTTCCATATTCTTCGTATTGCTCGTTTTCAGGCTTTTTTTCGCGGTCTTTCTTTTTCGCAGTCGCGTGACGGGACGGTATTGCCCAGAGCTTCTGTGTATCTTATTACAGAGCGTTGAAAGTGAATACCTGCAGGCGTTTGCATTTGACACTTTTCGGTCGGCGGAACGGTTTATCTTTACTTGCCATATATCTATCGACCTGAACGTATACTGGGGGAATTTTTTCGATGCAATTGCCGGAATATTTTTGGGAATTTTCAGCAGTTTCACGGCGATTTCAAGGAATTTCGGAGATCGGAAGTCAGGGTTTTATGGGAAAATTTATCGAAGTGGTGGAGTTCAGTTTAATTATTTCAGTAGCGAAGCGGTAAAATAATTTTAGGGTATCCAAGGATCTTTTACAGTTTGGGACAGACCGCAGTATGTATTCAACCGTTTTCAATTGTCCAATTTGTTAATTAAGTTGCGTGAGGAAAATTTGGAAAAAATCATGAATATTCAACGTCATTCGAATTACATTTTTTATAGGAGCATTTTTTTTAACTTTCGTTGTTTGTGGATAAACGTTTATGAATTTATAGATAAATTTCGGAAATTTAATTTTTTAGGCATGAAATCGATTTTTGGTAGAATTTTGATTATCAATAAATTTATTACGATTCCGAACGTATGATTTTTCTGGTGAAAATTTGACTGAAATTTCTGGTAACGTTTTAGAAAATTTTTATTACATTACGGATCCTCTGGAATTTCAAGGAATTTCGCCGTGGAAAATTTAACATTTTACGGGAAAATCAATGGAAATTGTGAATTTCAAAATTTCAATTCAATTATTCCATGAAAGTGAAGAAAAATCAGGAGAATTTGGCTAGATATATTGAAAAATGTTTAATTAATTCAAAATTCAAGTATATTTCAGAATTTTCGTCTTCTTGCTGCTGAAGAATTCGGAATTCCAGCTCGGAATTTAAGCTCTAAATCGAATTCAATACACTATTAAAAATTTATTACTGAACTTTTCAGTTCCCTTCTCGGAAATTTTTATCAAATGACAGTTTCACTGAAATTCCAAGGCATTTCGTCATTGAAACATCATAATTTGATGGAAAAATTAATAGAAATTGTAAATTTCTGTTCAATTATTTCATGAGAATTAATAGAAATCAGGAAAATTCAGATAAATTTATTCTTGAATTTTCGATTGATTGAAAATTCAAGTGAGTTGAAGAACTCTCGTCTTTTTGCTGTTCAACAATTTCCAATTTTAGTGAAATGGGGAATTTCAGTAGGAAAAATTCAATTAAAAGTTTCTTGCTGATATTTCCAGTTCGCTTTTCAAAAATTTATCAAGTGACAGTTTCCCTGAAATTCCAAAGTACTTCATCATTTAAATTTCATAATTTAATGACAAAAATCAAAAGAAACTGTTAATTTCAGTTCAATTATTCACGAAAATTAATAGAAATTAGGAAAATTAAAGCAGATGTAGCCTTGAATTTCTAATGAATCAAAAAAACGAATTAAAAAATTTACGTCTCGCTGTTTTTTCTAAATTTCTTTTTCATTAATTAAATAAACGAATTAAAAATCCATTTTGATTGATAATTTAAGCAAGCTGAAAAATTGCGGTCTTCATGCAGCTTAAAAATGTTCAATTCCACAGAATCTTCACTGAAATCTGGAAATTCACTACATCCCCCCTTCCCCCAACGAATTAAATATCTCCTGAAAATTCATAGTCAACTGTCCCTGAGAGTAAAAATTTTTGTAAACACGACATTAATTCTTTTTCGCCTATACAGAGCACGCGTCAATTTCCACGTGAATACGCACGTGTAATCTTAACGGGTGATCGTAAACAGATTTTAACGAGCCGATTAAATCCCCCAAAGTTAATAAATTATCGATACCACCAGCTGAGCGCTGGGTGGACACTGTTTGTGAAAAAAAAAGGAGAGGAGGCGTCAAGCTACTTTTCGTCTTTACTATATACACGCTGAAAGAGGTAAATTATAGCTCTACTCATCGCACAAGACGATCCCTCGGTCCACAATATAATTTATAACTTTTGGAGAGAGAGAAAATGGTTATTGAGATGCACCGCAAATACTGGATGGGAGAATAAGTGAGGGGGTGGTCAATAGAGTTATCCACCACAGAGAGGAGGGCTCAATTGGGCCGTTACCGATTTCAAAGGTGGTTGTGGTCGCGTGCCCACTGAGCTTTTTAACAACCTCTTTTCCGACCTTCCTAATTGACGATAATTTGATTTATTGTATTATGGGATTAGCGAGGGATTTTCAGTGTCGTTGAAGAAGTGATGTCATTGGGAGAAATCTCGAGGAGTTCACATCACTTCAGGACGAGTGAAAAAAATTATTTTTCTTTTTTGTTGAGTCTCTGGGATTTATTATAATAACAGAGTGAGACGGATGGTGAGTTTTTATTGAAAATACGACAAAATTGAATTTTCATTTTTGCCATTCTAAGCGATCGTCACATGTTCAGGGACAAGTTAAAGTCTTAAACTCATTGTGGAAATTAAACATCAAATTTAACTGAATTCAATCCAATGGATGAATGGATTTTTTCAATCCATTGAGAATTTTAAA